TTGAGGTTACAAGTAAGATTGTTCAACTATACTGATGTTACAAGTAAGATTGGTCAACTATAGTGAGGTTACAAGTAAGATTGGTCAAATATAATGAGGTTACAAGTAAGATTGTTCAATTATAGTGAGGTTACAAGTAAGAATGGTCAACTATAGTGAGGTTACAAGTAAGATTGTTCAACTATAGTGAGGCTACAAGTAAGATTGGTCATTTATAGTGAGAATACAAGTAAAATTGGTCAATTATAGAGAGGTTACAACTAAGATTGTTCAACTATAGAAAGGATACAAGTAAGATAGGTCAACTATAGCGAGGCAACGAAATGTATTAATAAAATATTTTTAAAAAGTTTTAAATATACTTTCGCTATACGTTGTAGCACATTAAGTAAGTACCGTAGTTCATTATTCATTAAACGATATTGGGATCCATGTGATATACGAATTAATTCACTGCAACTAAAAGTGGAACCCTTTCATTGAAAGCAAACTTATTGATTTTTGAACGAGGAAAGTAATGAGTTATTTATCTCAACTCCAATAATTAGATCAACGCGCGCAGTGAGTGTTTGATCAGGTCGCGCACATGCTAACGATGTACGACAGGTTGGTGAATGGTGGGTGGCGTGATTGGCATCTAAAATATCGAATTTATCGTAAAGTGTTTTGTTGTAAAGTGTCTGTAACGTGTCATTTCATGGAAACCATAAAAAATAAAATAAAAAAAATACAATGGACGTAGCGGTTGTGATTCCGTTGTAAGAAAAAGACAGAAGAACCCTGAAACTACTGATACTCAGGTACGGGTACAATAAACTGTAGATTATAAGAACAATGTAGAGATGATGTGTATAATTCTAAAAATAAAAAAAAACATTAAAAAATAAAGCTTAACCTTGAAATGATGTTCGCAGGTGGCATGCAATTCGAGTTCCTTTTGTTCGTATTTATTTATGATAGTAAATAAGGCAGATTTTACGACATTCAACATTTCATTCAACATTTCATTCAACATTTCATTCAACATTTCATTCAACATTTCATTCAACATTTCATTCAACATTTCATTCAACATTTCATTCAACATTTCATTCAACATTTTGTACAACATTTCATTCAACATTTCATTCAAACTTTCATTCAACATTTCATTCAGTTTTAACTTTTTTTAAAAGCACTACTATATGATTAGCTTTTATGTTTTCATAGCAGCATCTTTCAAACATTGTTTTGTGCATGTGTCCCACGTTCACATCCTATTTACCTCAGGCCTCCACGGCCTCCGCGGCCCCCTTTCATGTTATTAATATAAATTAAACAATCCTTAAAACAAAGAGTTTTGGATAAATCCGTTATAAGATGTGCTGTCTGGCAACTGAGGGTGGGGGCTGAACATTTGATAAAACCTGCCAACAAGCGACCTACTTTATAAGATGTGCTGTCGAGCAAGTGAGGGTGGGGCTGAACATTTGATAAAACCTGCCAACAAGCGACCTACTTTATAAGATGTGCTGTCGAGCAAGTGAGGGTGGGGCTGAACATTTGATAAATCCTGCCAACAAGCGACCTACTTTATAAGAATCCCAATTAGTGCTCTCCCCACCCCCCTCACCAAGGCTCTTTCACACCCCTGAACTCTATTAATATTCTGATAACAGACCCTCTTTTACATTGCATATTCATTTCACAAACTATTTCAGAAAAAAGCAAAAGAAAATAGGACGTACCAAATGAGCTCTTTGTTTAAAGAGTCTTATTTAGCTCAGTCATCGGGAATTTTATTTCGTTAAATCGGTCGCACTACATTATTTCCTTCATCTTACCTTTGGAAAAACAGAAAAAAAAAGAATTTTTTTGGAGTTGAGATTTGGGGGGTAGGTTGTATATTTTGTTGTCATCGGCAACGAGTCTATGTGCAGAGGTTAAGCTCGATAGGTTGACGGGTCGTGAGTCAATAAGCCATCCGAAGATTTCGCCCTATGCACACAAAGCGAAGTGAACATAAAGAATTTAAAAAAAACAAAAGACAAAAAAAAAAAAAAAAAAAAAAAAAACTTTAAAAAAAAAAAAAAAAAAAAAAAAAAAAAAAAAAAAAAAAAACTTTTTATTCTTGTTATCATAAGTTCATTTTAAAAATTGTCAGTGGTCCTCAGAAATATGCTGTAAACCCCCATGCGTGGTCATGTGCCTTTATTTAGCATAGCCTACCAATCATTTATACATTAAAATGACGATATCTTTTTTACTGCCTTTATTTTAAATATTAAAGTACACAGATGCTCATATAACCAATGTCTCGGACATGCTAGAACTAATAAGTTCCTAAGTTGAATGAAGTTCTAGAACTGTTGACAAATACGCTTCAAGTCAATGATGGCACTCTGACGTGGCACCAACTTGGAGGCGTTTTATCAAATACAAGTAAAAGATGCCTCCCTAATGCGTCTATCCCCCTCACCCATGCGTCTATCTCCACACCCCCCCCCCTGCCCCTTATCTGTGAAGATGCCCCTGACGCCAATAATATGAAGCCGATCCCCCTCACCCATGCGTCTATCTCCACCCCCCCCCCTCTTAACTGTGAAGATGCCCCTGACGCCAATGATATGAAGCCGTTTCACTAATAAGTTATAGGCTGCACAAAGTGTTTTCTATAACACCATTCTCACACCCCCCCCCTTTCCCCCAAACCGCTATTTACTTTGACCACTGAACACAGTCGTTTTATTTATATCAGAATACATGTCATTTCTTTCGGAGGACTTCATTTCTATTAGATATTTGTAAGACTTACATGCCGTGCAGCCTGGCACTTGGGTCAGTCTACTTAGCTAAGCATATTAAATAAAATAAAATTCTCTGCATCTGGCCTTGACCCCTCTCTCGGGCTATTTCTCGAATGAATTTCTAGAATAATCTGACAACGTAACGATATATAAATCAAATCAAAATCTTTAAAGCATGGGAGAACTGCTTTAAATTAAGTAATTTTTGCATGGATTTCTCTGTGTTTATATTGACGCATAAGGGCACAATTATATACCAATACCCTCTCCACCAACAATTTTGTACAAGTATGTGACTTTTGGCGTGGGTCAGAAAGTATGTGACTTTTGTGGTGGGTCAGAAAGTATGTGACTCTTGTGGTGGGTCAGAAAGTATGTGACTTTTGTGGTGGGTCAGAAAGTATGTGACTCTTGTGGTGGTCAGAAAGTATGTGACTTTTGTGGTGGGTCAGAAAGTATGTGACTTTTGTGGTGGATCACAAAGTATGTGATTTTTGTAGTGGGTCAGAAAGTATGTGACTTTTGTTGTGGGTCTGAAAGTATGTGAATCTTTGGGTGGGTTATAAAGTATGTGAATCTTTGGGTGGGTTAGAAAGTATGTGAATCTTTAGGTGGGTTATAAAGTATGTAAATCTTTGGGTGGGTCAGAAAGTATGTGAATCTTTGGGTGGGTTAGAAAGTATGTACGTTTTAACTGAAATAAAAATTACAAATTCAATTAATTTTTTCCTTAAAATTTAAAAAAACATGTTTTCTGACTTAGAGAAGCGCTATTAACCCACTTCAACTCATTTTAACCCATTTCAATCCATTTCAACCCCCCCCCCTTCCAAAATGGACGTACCATGCTGTCAACACTGCTTCATGGTTTTTAGAACGATCTGTGGTTTCAGCTGTTAACGGCGGCAACATTTGAATTATTTCTTGAACAAGCAATCTAACTCCTCGCAATGCAATCATACAATGTTTTCTTTCCAAAACCACCAACTAACACAAGAATCATCAATAGTCAATCGCTTCTTTTTATTGCCATAGCGTTTGCGTCCGGGATCGAACGCCTCTTAGACCACGAAGCAACACCACTGCATGATGGTGCCACATGGGATTTTGCCTCTTCGTGGCGTGGACGACTAGTAGGGGGGGGGGGGCAACTCCCCGAAGCTAAAAAGCTCGCAGGACCTTCCAACGCAACGGAAGGCTTGCATTAACATGATTACTGTGGCCGTTGATGGGTATAAGACAATGGGTGGCCGCCCATATGTTTTCTTTCCAAAACCACCAAATAACACAAGAATCATCAATAGTCAATCGCTTCTTTTTATTGCCAAAGCGTTTGCGTCCGGGATCGGACGCCTCTTAGACCACGAAGAAACACCACTTCATGATGGTGCCACATGGGATTTTGCCTCTTCGTGGCGTGGACGACTAGTAGGGGGGGGGGGGCAACTCCCCGAAGCTAAAAAGCTCGCATGACCTTCCAACGCAACGGAAGGCTTGCATTAACATGATTACTGTTGCCGTTGATGGGTATGAGACAATGGGTGGCCGCCCAAATCCTTGTCAATGATTAAAAAGACGCGGCCCTGAGAAAGCCGCCCCTAGGCGACCGTTTCGTCCCCGCTACGTCCCGACCAGACAGCGCTCTGGGTGGTGGGGAGTGGTAACGCAACACCACATCTCCTGAGAGGAAGTAAAGCCGTCCTGACCCATAGGAGAGTTGACTACGGACGCTTTAAGTGCAGCGCCCTCGGTCGACCGGAAGTCCCTCAGGCCAGGGAGGTTCCTGGCGCGATTCCGCACGGCCTGGAGCCTCAGCTCTGGCCCGTTTGGGGGAGTGCCGGGGGGACTATTATGAGTGAAAATTCGACGACCCACGGACACCATCTCCAAAGTGATGTTATTGCCATAGCGACCTAATAACAGACAATGACGTACCCTTTAATAACCTCGATTTGCGTGATTTGCGTGACAACGAATCTTAACCACGTTCTTCGTATTTTTCAGAAGCTCCAATAGAAAACAATGAATTTAAAGAGTGAAGATGGAATTGAGACAGAATATACCAAGTGTCCTAATGAGGATTTTCTAAATCAATCTACCACGGTGGCCCCCGATTGTATTTATCAGAACACGACAGGTGGATCCGACACAGGCAAGCAAGGTCCAGACATCATCGTCAGCGATGAAATGAGAAAAATCATCATGAAAATTCTCATGTACGCCGTAACACCGAGTATCTCCGTGTTAGGAATCATCGGCAACGTGCTTAGTATCATGATACTACTGAAGCACGGCTTGGTCAAAAGCTCCAACATTTTGTTGTTTACTTTGGCAGTAGCTGATATCATATATCTTGTCTCGTTCAACAACGTCCCGAAAATCATTTACGAAACGTCGGACGAGATTGGCTTTCGGGGATTTTCGGAAACCACAAGTTCCGTTCTTGTGGTCGTCTACTCCGTCTTCTTGACATCGGACTTTTCCTCCAGTCTCGTCTCGCTGACGATGCCCATGCTGATAACGCTGGAGAGGATGGTCGCTATTTTCATCCCTATGAAATGTTCCCGTATCGTGACTCCGAAGAGAACGTGGGCTGCAGTTGTGGTAGTGGTGCTCTACTCACTGGCTCTCTTCGTGTACCCCAACTTTTGGTACCAGCTCCGCTTCGAATGGCACGCAGACTTAAATGCGTCCATCGGTTACAGAGATTTCTCCCCTTTGCACACGAGGGACGCTGTGGTCGTGAGGGTCATCGAAGATATGTGCGTTTACTCCATCAGCGTGATCCCTCCTTTGTTTACGGTCGCGGGCTGCATCGTCATCTCGGTCAAGGTCAAACTTGTGTCGATCCAACGGAAAAAGATGACGTCAAAGGAAGTGTCCTCCAACAGAACTACGAAGATGCTGCTGGCAGTTTGTGCTGTCTACACAGTGACCTGCGCCATCTTGACCGTCCCCATTAACGTGCCGGTCATTTCATATGGTCCCTTTTCTGAGACACACCCATCTAACATCGCCATCGTCATGTACCAGGTGATGAACATCTTTATCTGTATCAACAGTTCATGTAACTTTATCATCTACGTCGGACTCAACAAAAACTTTAGGAAAACTTTCAAAGAACTTTTTACCTGTAAGAACAATCTCTCCAAATGTAGAAATACTAACCTTTAAGATTGTACCCGGAATTAATAAAATTTATTAAGAGTATATAGATTGTATCAAAAATAAATAAAGTTTATCAGGACTCATTAGAAAATATCAGTAATCATTGGAATTTATCATGGGCCAATATAATTTATCAGGAACCAATATAATGTCAATGTATCAGGAACCAATATAATGTCAATGTATCAGGAACGAATATACTGTCAATGTATCAGGAACCAATATAATGTCAATGTATCAGGAACGAATATACTGTCAATGTATCAGGAACCAATATAATGTCAATGTATCAGGAACCAATATAATGTCAATGTATCAGGAACCAATATAATGTCAATGTATCAGGAACCAATATAATGTCAATGTATCAGGAACCAATATAATGTCAATGTATCAGGAACCAATATAATGGCATTGTATCAGTAACCAATATAATGTCAATGTATCAGCAATCTATATAATTTATCAGGAATCAATATAATGTCACAGGAATAAACAGAATGTATCAAATAGCAATAAAGTTTATCATAAATCATTATAATTAATCAGGTATCAATCAGAAATCAATGAAATGTGTCATCGACCCTCCCTCTCCCCCCCCCCCACCCCCAACGGAATTACTGTTAACCATCAGACATATACTCAGAATCAATGGATCCCACCGATAATAGTTGGAATTTTAAACTCTATAAGTCAGCAGTAAAGATTGACATAAATCTAGAACTAAAACTTCCAGAGTCACCAAATAGATCTGCACCCTTTACTTACTCAATGAACGCTTGGATTAACCCATAAGATTACCATTCCATCTTTTGACTCGTTCCGACATTAGCTTATTTTTTTAGTTTATTTTTGTAAAGGCGAAAGCTGCACCTATAAACCCTCTTGATTTGTCTACTGTGCTCTGTTCTTTGTTATATTTTCATTTCTACTGTTGGCTGACGAAGGCTTTATGCCGAAACGTCCTTGTTTTTTTTTTGTCCTGTTATCTTATTTCAAGCTTCCACATACCTCGTTTTTCTAGTTCATTTATTTACTAAGCTTGAAAGCAGTCCTTTAACTTATAAATGTTTAAGTAAATTGTTTGTATGTTTTTTCCCTCATTTTTTCTGTTTGTTGTTTGTTTTCTTGTCATTTATTATTGAGTTCTTTATTTTTGTTCGTTGTTGGTTTGTTTTTATTTTTTTTTAAGTAACTAAACTTATTGTTATTTATTGAGAAAAACACAACAAACTATATAATGTTGCTAGATCAACATCATTAGATTTAAAAATTAACATAAATAATCTTTCAATCATTTTAAGTTTAATAATTGCCTTTGACTTGTGGAGGCGATTATTAAATTTGAGGTCGGGAGTCAGTGAGAATTTGTTTTCTTTTTCAATTATATTTATGTAGCAGACAAAATCTTAACGGCACCCCCCCCCTTCTTTGCTCGGCCAATGCTCATTAGAGTTAAAAACATATCCCCTTCTTTTCAACTTACATTCTTCTATAACATTTCATCTTTTCATTCCTTCCATAAATTATGATTTTTTAAAATTATTATTCATATTACCACAATTAACCGACAATAATAAATTAAATAAGTTAAAATTAATAATTATAATAATATTTATTAAAATGCATTATATATACACAAATTACAAAGGCAAATGCTGACGTCCTTTGAGAATGCATGTAAAAGGAAATAGTGATTGAGATTTTTTATTTAAAAAGTAATAACAATGAGAATCGGTCGCTATTTAAACTGCATAATGTTTCTAGTCCAAATCACCTTGTGAACAATAAATATTTAATCATGGATGGGATGTCTCAGTTAGGAAAAAAAATATCGCCATTAACATCTCCCACACAGCTATTGAAAGACTGTGACTGGTTAATTGTTTTGGGCATTATTATAGGTCAACATTATAAATGAAGTTCATCGTACATAACACTGATGTTGTCCAGAAACACAACAGCCAGGCCAACGTGTGTCTGTGATATCCGCTGACGGTGGCTGTCACGACAGTAAGAAATAGAGTATCATTCCATCAAGGGAGACAGAAGGCACATTTTTTTATATTGATATTATCCACGAAAACTTATATACAAAACCCTTTATTAAACGATTTAATCTAAGGATTGTTTCGTACCGTTATTTCGTCTTGCAAATGCAATCTGTTTAAAGATTGGGCTCGTGTCTTTAACCACACATAAGGAAGGACTGAAAACCAGAATGCAAAGAAAAGGGATACCAAAGCCAGTGATGCTAACAATATTCAATTAAATTGTACTATTAAGTTTATAGAATATAATAGAAAATCAAATAGAAATAAAAACTATATCAACTTACAACTGCGCTTATACATGGCAATGCCTTTGTGTGCACATAATGGATACGAATAATTAAGTCATTGTTGTCAATAATTGTAAAAATATCTATACAAGAATATTTGTTTAAAAGTCTTGCTCCAAAAAAAAAAAAAAATTATAATTTCTGATTTCATTCGCCAGTTTAATTCTTCAACATGTTATTTGGATTGCTTTAGACAAAATTCAATACCATCAATTCCAGTGGATGGGACTCATCAGCCTTGTAAGGGACTCTTCAATCTTGGATGGTGGCTTATCCAAGAAAAGGCACAATTCGAGCTGGTGGGACTCTTCAACATTTGATGGGACTCTTCAACCTTGGACGGTGGCTTATCCATGAAAAGACACAACTCTAGTGGGTTGGACTCGTCAGCTGGAGCTGCTGGCTTATCCAGGTTATTCTCCATAAAAACATATCGCCCCGGCCTTGTGATTTCAGATATATCTGGCATACGGATTTACAAAGAATAATTCATTAATTTCAATGTCACAGGGAAAAGTTACTTTACGTTGTATGCTCTGTGCGTGTCGTTCTTGATGTTGTAAAAGTATATCGTTAAACGAAGCATCAAGTGCCCTAATTTGGCATTAGTCACGTGGCATCACACCATCCCTCAAATTAGGCGCGTGCTGTTCTTTGGTATGTAACATGAATGACAGTTTATTTTTATGGTTTGGATTATTTCATAAATTATAATAAAGTTGTTCTTTATGGTCCTTATATCTGTACATAGAAGCGCACTGTGGTGTTTTACGGAGACCATGGTGTTGAGTGGAAACCGTAGTGTGTACAGGAACCTTGTTGTTTTCAGAAATCTTGGTGTTTACAGAAAACATGGTGTTGTACAGAAACCTTGGTGTTGTACAGAAACCTTGGTGTTGTACAGAAACCTTGGTGTTGTACAGAAACCTTGGTGTTACATAAGTTTTGCTGTTGTACAGAAATTAGCTGTTTTGGATCACTCTGACATGGACATGATGACCAACACCCTGCTAAATGAATTATTTTATACCATATTCAGTCCATTTCCAACATCACCCAAAATAATGGTATATCAATGTAGATAAAGGGCGGAATACTATCAGATTTGAAAAGGGAAAACACTGTTGTAAGAGGGAAAAATCATATTTAAATCGGCGGTTATCTCTCCTTATGTCATTTAAAAATTGTTTTTAATATAGGATAACTGTTTCTTTTAAGGTAAATTTGGACGAATTTAAATAATTTTGATCTTTTTCCAAATCTGACAACCAACAAACACACTACATGGATATCAGTTTAAATCTTACAACTCAATGGATAAAATTATAATTCCATTTTTAGTTAGTCCCTAAAGTGTTCAATTAAAATATTTACTTACAAAAATACTTAATTTAAAAAAAAAAATTAACTCAATTTACGAACATGTAACTAGCAACACTGCAAGTTAAGTATAAAATCTAACAAATGGTTTCTTTCAGATATTGCATTCCTTGTCTTTATAATAAAAGAATAACCAACTTTTTTACTGGTCACAATTCGTCCACCACATTTTTCTAACCATATGTGTTTGTTTTCTCATTAACGTGTCTGCCCAGGGGATCATTTAAAAATCAGAACAATTCAAAATGCACATAAGTATTATTTTTATTATTTAATGCCCCAATTAATTTATTATGGTAAAGTCAATTAAACCCAAGGCTGCAAGATATCGTAAGTTCTTGCATTCAATTCATTCACCAAAGAAAGGGTAGATAAGTAAAGAAGCACTTCGTTACTTTTAAAACAATATTCACCTCTTTCTTTCCCAAACTATTCCCGACCCATTCTCCTTACTTCTTATTATCACCCTGCTTCTTCATCATCAAATCTACCCCACATCTACTACCTTCTCACCTCTACCATCCTCTACTACCTTCTCACCTCTAACATCCATCTACTACCTTCTCACATCTGACACCCATCTTCTACCTTCTCAGCTTCCTACCTGATCCAGATTACACCTTTACATACATACTCATCCCATTTTCTCTGAAACCCCATTATCATCTTACTATTCTCCCTTTTATCTAAACTAAACAAATAACCATTCACACCTCCCCCAATATTCCCTGTACTCAACCATCAACTCTTCTCTGTACTCAACCATCACCTCTTCCCTGTACTCACCCATTATCTCTTTCCTGTACTCACCCATCACCTCTTTCCTGTACTCACCCATCACCTCTTTCCTGTACTCACCCATCACCTCTTCCCTGTACTCACCCATCACCTCTTCCCTGTACTCACCCACCTCCTCTTCCCTGTACTCACCCACCTCCTCTAACCCGTACTCACCCACCTCCTCTTCTCTGTTTTCACCCTCATCCTCTTCCCTCTACTCAGCCACATCCGCTTCTCTGTACTCACCAACCTCTTCCTAGTCTCACCCACATCGACTTCCCTGTACTCAGCCACCTCCTTTTCCCTGTAGTCACCCACATCCCTCCCCTTGCCTAACCTCTGTCTTAGTATCTTTACCAGCATCACTTGGAGTATGGTACGCATTTCTACCAAATGTTTAGCTCCTTATGGAGTCAGGTTTTGGACAGATTATTCCAAACAAATCAGAAATCAAACAGAGTACTTAAAA